CAGAGCGTCCTGGACAGCCACTTCCCGGGGCTCTTCAGGAGCCGGCTGAAGCCCGCCTTCTTCCTGGAGAGCGTGGACGCCCACCTGCAGATCGGGCCGCTCAAGAAGTCCTGCATATCCGTGCTCAAGAGGAGGTAATGCGGGCGCCGGGCCTCGGCCGCTGCCTCGGCTCCTGGCATTTGCGACTCCGCAGCCCACGCGTCCTCAGTCCTCAGCAGCCTCATTTCTAAAAGAACCCTTGGCCTCCCAGACCCTCTCAAGTGCCTCTCAGACCCCCCTCCCCCCACTGCCGGCCTTGTTTCCGGGAGAGAGAGCCACAGCCAGGACAGATCCAGGCTATTCCAAGCCCTCCCTTTCCAGGTGCCTAGGACAGTGCTTGGCACACAGTAGGTGCTCAATAAACACTTGTTGAATGAATCACTCCTTCCTGCTCTCCACCCACCAAGAATTTCCCAGTGTTGCTCATCTTTCAGGAGCCGGTCTTAAAAGGCAGGAGAAGGGAACAGAGTCCCTGGTCCCAGGATTCCTGTTGGGAGGGAGGGAGCCCAAAGAGGGGGCTGAAATGGGGTGCCTGCCCTTTTGGGCAGCCCTACTCCCTGGTCCTGGATAGGGGCAGCTAGAGATGGCGTCTCCTGTGGGGGTCCAGCCCCACAGTCGTTCTGGCTGCCCCTGTGTTGGCTTTGCCGGCCTGGTTCCCATCAGCTGTTTTCATCCTTAATGCCACAGCCTCGCTCTGGACCTGCCTGTGGTGTTTGTGCCCAGGACTAACTGCAGACGTCACACCCCCGAGAACAGGGCACGGCTCCTGGGCGGGGGCACGAAGGCTTGAGACCCGAGTTGCTTTCACTCACACACCTTCCCAGGCCATGAAGAATGTGACTGAGCTGACGCGGGTGTGGCCGGAGCCCAGAACATCTACAATAAAGGGGCCTGTGTCCTCTGGGCTCTGCCTCACCTCCCGCGCCCGGCTGTGCAGCTGGGACAGTGCTCGGCCTCCAGGCCGGGGAGACGCGTGCCCTGCACCCCAGCAGAACCTCTGCTGCTCTGCCTGGAAGGCCCCATGTCCCCTGCTGCCACCAAACCCCCATCGTGGCCTGGGATGCCCCAATTCTGCTCCCCGAGGCTACTTGGTGAGTGTTTCCAGGCCAGCCCGCCCTCCCTCGGTTCTTTGTGGCCCAGGGGCACCCCAGAGCACGCCCCAGCAGGAAGGGCCCGGGCAGACGGAGGCCCCTTTGCACCCGGCCCAGGTCAGGCGGGACAATGGGTGAGCTATGCAGCCAGACAGCAAGGCCATACAAGCCTTGCTCTGGCTGCCTTGGCGGCTAAAAATAGTCCCTCCTGCGAGGCCGTGCCTCAGCCCGCAGCCAGGATGTTGTTTTTCTGGGCGGGCCCTCCTTGCTCCTGGTGTTTTGGGTTCAAAACACCGTTCCCTAGGCAGCCAGGGCCCCCAGCTCACCCAGCCGCTGGGGCCCATGAGGGAGGCGGCTCTGGGGCCTCACGAGGTGGGTCCATGGGCTTCCTAGTGTCCGCTCACCTGCTGTGAGCTTCCCACTTTCACAAGCCCTCCCACCTCCCGGTGTCTCATCGCCCCCCTGGCACTGGGGCTTCCTGGCGGAATTCCAGTCTGACTTGTCGGGTCTGCAGCCAGCATCCCTGCCACTGGCAGTGATTCCAGCTCCCAACACTCATGTGCGCTGCAGCCGCACAGCCCCGCGCAGGGGGCGGGCACCCAGGCCGCACAGCTGGCACAGGGCTGGCGGGTGGGCGTGGCCCAGGTTTCAGTGTGGTCCCCACGGTGGGGTATCCACACGCCTGCCCTTCCTCGAACTCTGGGATCATGCTAGAGCTGGAGGGATGGTGTGTGGGAGTCTCTGTGTATTCGTGTGTCTGTCTGTGTGTCTGTGCATGTGGGTGTCCTGTATGAGTGTGCATGTCCACCTGTCCGCCTGGGTGTACGTCTGTATTTGTGTGTCTGAATCCAGTCGTACTTTTCAAAATGTTCTGAGAAGACCAGGAGTTAAGAGGTGCCCGAGGTGGGGCAGGTGGCAGGCTGGGAAGGGGCAGTGGGGCAGGGCTAGCCCCTCACCACCCCGCCAACACTTTATTTATTTTTTTTAATAAATATTTTTAATTAAGTCAAACACCAAACCATAAATGTTAATATTTGATTGTTAGAAAACACAGCATTTGGCTTATGGAAATAACCACTTTAAATAAAATCTTTTAGGCACTTGGGTGTAGCCAACACTTTAATTAAATAGATTTTACTGAAAATTGCTTGGAAAAAAGAGAAACTGTTAAAAAAAAGAAAAAATGTTAGAAATCCCCATGTAGGCCAAACCTCCTACCACTACTATTTCCATAGGATGAAACTGAGGCACAGACATGCAGGGGCCTCCCAAGGCTACCCAGTCCAGCACACTTGCCCCATTCTCCACGCGTAGGTGTGTCCTCGCTTAGAAATGTCTGAACGCATGCACAAACATGCATGCACATGCACACACACGCATGCACGTGTGCGCACATTCATGCACACACACAAACACATGCACAAGCACGCACACACATGCACAAACATGCAAAAAATATGAGAGCTCCCTGAGCCTGGCCCAGTTGCCATGGCCACCAGAGCCCCTGGCGGAGCTGCCCAGGATGTGCGGTCTCCGAAGCTGCCGCCGGTGCCCAGCACAGACAATGGCAGAGTGTGAAGGGCTCCGGGGCTGTCGCTGCGGCTGAATCTGGCTCCTTTGGGCCAGGCAGGGAGCCAGCCTCCACTTGCGCTTTGTTTCTGTGGGAAAATGACTCCAGATCCCTAAACAACAGGCCGAGCAGCGGACTGGAGCATCGCTGCTCCTGGCAGCTGCGGACCGCTGCGTCCTGGACCCCTGGGTCCTGCACCCCTCACCGCTCCCAGCCCCTCCGCACACCCCAGGAGGGTCGAGGCAGACACCATCTCCACCCTTGTCCTCCCCTCCTCCGTCCCCTCCCCTCCCCTCCCTCCTCCCAGGCCCAGGATGAGGCCAGGCCCAGACGGTGGCCAAGCAGCAGGCTGTTGGGAAGAAGACGGCTCAGCTGGGAGGGGCTGAGGTCCAGAGGCTCTGCTGGGCTGGGCTGGGCTGGTTTCCCCGGGAGGAAAATAGCCCTCAGCTGCAGGGTCTGCGTCAAACCCAGCCCACACCCAACGCACACCCTTCGATGCCAGCGTTCACTCCCTCCTGCCTCTCCTCTGCAGGATGCATAAGAAGGCTGGAGGCCGAGGTGGCCCCCCCCCCCCCCCCCCCCC